AAAACAAAACCACAAACACCAACAAAAACAAAACCCACCCATGCCTGAAAATCACATATTTGGCAGTACCTGATATGAGGAGCTAGGAATTTCAGATGAAGGATGAGATGGGCAGCCACTGTAATTTTCCAAGTGATTCTTCCTGCAGGAAGTTCTCGTGACAGTAAATTAGACTGGTGGCACAGACTTCCGTACAGCTGTTGCCACTCAGTGCAGACCCGACTGTGGAGCAGCAGATCGTGAAATAAAAGCCCTAGCAAGTAGCCAACATCCAGGGAACACATGAACAGAGCACATGATAACCCTTAGGGGACAGCCTGAAGGGACTCGGGCCCCGACAAACATTTCTGCCAGAGAAGCGCTCGTTTCACCTACGAGCACACTTCAGTACAATGAAGACATTAAGACTCCAGCTTGTTAGTAGACACCACTGTACAACAACTGAGCCTTTCCTGTGGCAATTGATCTGTACAGGTGAAAGAATCTGTTACTCTCAGTAAAAGCAAGGCTGCTGTTTTATTAAAAGATAATGGAAATAGTTTGGGCTTAGGAAGAGAGATCAGGCTGTACGGCAGCTAGATGTGTGGGAAATTTGATTTCCCTCCGCCCCCCGCCGGTGTGATGAAGAGAAGGAGTCACGGAACAAGCATTGAGCTAGAAATAAATCATTTATTTTAAAACAATACAGGTTAATAAATAGGTTAGTTATCAGAAAACTTAATAAATAGCGTTTTATAATTTACACAAGGCAAATACAACATGCCTATAACTATTTCTTAAAAAGCAAAGAGAGTAAGCTTGACTTGTAAGCCATTAACAAATCTATATATACATTATTTGGAAGCTAATAAAATAAACCATTTTTATGTAATCTGTAGTAACTATATTGCAATAGCATTGAAGCAACCAAACCTGACGCTGTGTATTGTTGCCATCCACCTTTTCCCCATATCCCATTAGAATTAGTTTTTACATTCCAGGAAATAAAAAAGTTAAAAAAAAAAAAAAAGAAGAAAGTTCCACAGTTGAAAAATTATTTAACTTAAAAATACCCCTTTTGTGTAATACTTTCCACTCTGCAGAGCAACTGTCGGGGGGGGAGTGGGGAGCCACAAGAAAAAAAACAATAAAAAACCCCACTTATTTGCAGCTTTTTCAAAAGATTTCTTAATCCATAACATTTCAACACTGCTGTCTGAAACACTTGGGCACTACTAATAATAACTGTTGACACTGTTGGTGCCTAACATCGTACACACGAAAATTCTGCATCACTTAAAGCCATATTCAGTAGCACCAAAGGGTTATTACAAAGACTAAACTCTGTAAAGATTAACAGATAAACATTTGATAACATTTGACCTAAGAGTAAAATTTCAGCAGTTACACCATCTCAACTGAGGAAGATCTGTAGAATCCTGGATGTTTTGTATTTATTAAACAAGAAGGTGAGAGGGGTGCAACGTGCGAACAATGGCCCATTTTAAGCACCCCATATTTAATAACCCCAAATCTTTCTTCAAATGCAACCCCCTTAATTTTAAATAAAAAGGAAAGCTAAACCTCACATTCTAGTGTTTCAACAAATAAAATCCAGTGTTTTCTTTTTTCAGTGCTAGTGACTTCAGAAAAATACATATGTTCACTACAAACCGAGATTATTAATAGGAAGCCTCACTTGTCAAACTGTGATATGACAGGTTCTTAATTAATGTTAGTTGCAGCTCACTAATAAATAGGCTCTATTTACACATACAGAGTCCTGGAAAGTCAATACAGCAGATAACTTGTTTAGATACTTTTCTTTTTTACGTTAAGTATTTAAGGTGTAACAAATTTTTTTTTTTTGGTTGTATCAAAAAGGTTTCTATTCTCCTACTGAACATTTTGAGGGATTTTTGTGTTTGACACCTAATAAAGATCATGACTGACACATGTAAATCCTCCATACACTGAAGGGATAATGATCAAAAAAGCTATCTTCACGAGAGTACCAAGTAAATATGTGTGACAAGTGTAATAGAAGCCAGACATACGGAGTGAAACACCTTTCATATGGATTTGAGTTTAATTCAAATGCATCCCACCACTGTAATGAGTCCACTTTTTGGATGTGTAGCCTCTCACACTCCTGCTTTGGAATCAGAACTGAAGTCATCTGGCTCGTAGCTATCGATAGACATAATGCAAAGAGAGGGTGAAAAGGGCAGACCCGTGAGGGACACCAAAGCTCAGGAGACAATTACGCACATTTGCTCCCTGAGATGATGGAACTCAGATATCTGTCTTATGCAAAGTGCTTACTTGTCAAAGGGGGGTGGGAGGGGGAGAGGGAATGGCTAAAATTCAACTTCAACAGTGCCTCCTTTTAAATCAGAAAAGCAATGTGACTACAGAAGGTAGGACACCTAGAATGAGGAGGGTGTGGGATGGAGGGGGAGAAGAATCATACCAACAGTGACAACAGAAAATGCCAATACATTTCTAAAGCTAGAACTGAACCAGATCCAGGTACAGCAAAACTCACAAGAACACTGCTGCACACTGAAGAAAGTAGCAAAAATAAAGGTTTCCGTTATTTAGCATTCATGGTGTAAAAGGCTGCAGATATAAATTACGGGCAAGGCCACGAGAATTTCTTTCACCTTATGTGCTGGCTTTTGACATCTCTGTTTTAAACAACAAGGTTAACTAGACATTTCTAGAAAGCTCATCACAGATGAGGAGCAGCTGGGGAGAAGAGAAGAAATCTATGCAGACACTTACCAGCTGTAAGGATGGTCAGAGGACCACAGAACACGGCTGCTACTTTATTCTTACTCTGCATAGTGAGTGCTTATCAAGTAAACTCGTGTGTGTGGTGCAGAAAATGGCAAGGTTTAGACAGGGCAGTCAAGTTATTTTGGATCTAATATTTACTAGTAACTTGCATACGCACCTAACATACTAGGATAGGCACTTGCTAAATAAATAGGAATGAATTTTAAACCAAAACAAGACAAACAAATATGGCCAAAGGAGGACTAAGATGAGACCACAATCATTTCCGTTCTGACATAAAGATTTTCACAGAAGTCTTCAGGGATTAAAGGCTAGTACAAAACCAACATGCAACTCATGAACTCTGAATTTGAATTTTGAAAAGACAGCTTGACTGCTTCAGAAAACAGCTGACTTTGTTTTAAAAAGTAGGTCACTACAGGTCTCACAACCTGTGTACAATTCCAGTTTCAATCAGAAAAAAGGGAATTAATGTGACAAAACATAACTGTCTGCTGAGAACTGAGATACCATCTTCCAATCAATAATGGAGAGAGGTTAGTTTTAACCAGCTTTCACTGTCCGATTCCCCTCATCTACAATTCTCAAACTTTCTAGAAACCATACACAATATTTGAAAATCCATGAAGATGGCCTTTTCTCTGCTAGCGCTACTTTATTTCACCAAGACACCCAGTTTCCACGCTGGCCTGTAACAACGTATGTTTCTGCCAACTCAGAGTCATTCCCCTCCAGTCTGGAGTTGTAAAGCAAGCTTCCAAATAACATAGCGGGGCTCTTACTCCCTCGGAACAGACCCTTCAGAATACTTCATCTTTAGGATTCACTGTTCACGATTATTGCTGCCATCAGAAGGGCTTGTAACATTTCTTTTAAATGAAAATGGAGTTTTAAGGTAACATTAATTCAGGTCAACAAAAAACATCACGAGAGTGGACAGTATTACTGCCCATTAATCAACATCCACATTCCTGTCAGCCAGCCACAAAGCTACATTCATGATTTCTTGATAAAGTGGCATGAACTTTTTCAAATACTGTCTGTCTGAGACAGTTGGGGGTTTTTGTTTGTTTGACGAGACGTCCTGAACTAAAGATGTTGAGTTCCACTGTGCCCTTCCATTTTTGCACTTAAATGGAAACCAACATGCATTACTTTTCAAGCTTTCCTTCCAAGTTTTTGACTTGCGATGTTTTAGCTATCAAATATAAATAGAACATGAAAATTAACTATTTCTTTCTTTGACATATCAATATTAATCTAAATGGTTTAAACTGAACAGTTCAGGATCCTTCCAATCATAGCTTAGGCTACCTGTACTACTTGTCAAAATATTATGGCTGAACTGTTCGCGCGGGTCTGTAAATTACTGGATCTGGATGTATATCCCTGTTGGTTATCTGAAACTCAGCTCTCTGAATGCCTACGCTTTTTCAGTCTTTAAGCTCCATTTCCCATGTTACAAGAGGATCAGACCATCTTTTTTTGAACTATGAGAAATCTTACGCTCTTCTCTTTCAAGTTTCTTTTTTTGTGGTCCCTGCTTATTAGCTACTTCACAGAATGGTTTCCTGCATTTAATCACTTAACTAACACAAAGGTATGCTGGGCTGCTTTAAACAGTCCTCCTGTCGATTACCGCTTCCCGTTAGGACTACGGGTTTTTCAGAAGCTGTCAAGGCATCTGAGGGTTTCAGTTCAGGTTTGTAAATTCTTCCAAAAATGTGTGGCTCCTTCTGGATGCTTTACGTGTTTAGAATTTGAATACGGTCCAATATTACAGACAGTGAAATTGAATTATTAAACCGGTATAGGCCATCTGAAACAAATACATTCACATTTATGCAGTATTTTTGGATTACAAAGGCACTGAAATAGTTCTGAGCTGCTTACAAATAGGCCACCGTTTAGGCAATAAGTCTGTGCATCATTTCCATATCCTTCACAGTCTTTCCGTCTGCTCCCAATTAAAAACTCTGAGATGAATGCGGTATGTCTTAATGCACGTAAATGACAAAGAAAAATGCATACCTGGACACTACCATCAGCTGATAAGTAATTAGTGAAAGACTTTTAAGGGTCCACTGCTCTGTATGAAGAATTCAATTTAAAACTCCCCAGTGTCTTCACCGCATGGCAGACCAAGTTGCCGAGACAGTGACTAAAAGGGACAAATCTGCAGTCTGTGTGGTTCAACCAACGTTTGTCTCAGAATTCACAGCCTTGACGGTGAACACATTGCTATATTGAGATTAACAAATTGTTCCACTCGCTTTTTTCCCCCCCTTATTTTAAGGTATACATCACTCATGAAAGGTGTCAGATTGAGTGCATTAGAAACTGATGTTCTCTGCCCACAGAAACGGTACCTCAGAAGCCACAATACAAGCTTTAACACACAGCTCTGTCAGAATATCCCCAGATCTTTTCTGATGGATTACCTTTTATGGTAAGGAAATACATCGGTCTCTATGCTAACTCAATCAGTGGTTCCAATTAAGGTCATTTATTGTGTTGACTGGGGTACATGGACAACTGTTCCTTTGAAACTGGATGGAGGCCACCAATTCATTTCACATAGGCCACCAAATTGTCAGAGGGTAACTACCAACCTGAATCATGTTTGAATCAGTGACCTAGAAATGAAAGGCTCTGCATCCTTCGCTGAGCCATCCAGTTTCCCCTCAAAAAATATTTTAATCTGTCTTCATGTTAGGTTTATTTAAATCCCCGATATTGAAGTTGAATTCCTTGAAGACTTGTATAAGAACAATTCCAATAGATACTGTGGTGAATCCGCAAGCCATTCCCAAGAAATCTACCACTCCTACATTACTCCATTCCCTGAAAAGGATGGCTGAAGCCAGCAGGACTAAGGTGGTAAACACAACGTAGTAGATGGCACCGAACACAGAGGAGTCGAAACATTCCAGTGCCTTATTGATGTATCTGAACTGAATGATAATGCTACATCCTAATACTGCCAGAAGTACCAGACAGAGGTACAGAGCCCTTTGACTCGAGGGGTTATTGTGAAAGATATCTTGAGCAGCCAGCCCAATGCCTTTTGTGCTGGGAACAGTGAAACTGCCCAACAGAGAGCAAATACTGATGTAAACCATGATATTAGTAGGTCCATGAGCTGGAGCTATCCAGAAGATAAGCAGGAGAAGCATTAGCAGCACTATGCAGAGATAACCCACGAAAACTGGAAAACAAAAAGAAAACAAGATAATAGCAAGGTGAGAACTCTTGGACTTCTAAAAGATTCTAGCAGGCAAATCATGTCGTACCAGTGAACTTCAGGTATACACCAGGATTAAGATTTGCTGTTGAACATAGATCCAAATCACTGAGTTTTTAGAGATGTTGTGGGCATCTACAACAGATGATGTTTGGGTAAACCAAATAATCATGTAGTAAAATATACAATGTTGCACATTTTAACTGGATTTAAGATGGCTTTTTTCTTTTCCATTCTGTCTTCTATCAGGATTATACTCCTTAAAGCCCCCTATGACAGACAGCAGTGATAACACCTCATTAATAACAAGTTCAATAAAGCACAGTGTGTGGATCTAGCAAAGAGCTTAAACATAAAGTTAGACTCCATTAAGGTGAGTAGGGAGAGCTGGAAGAACTGAGAGGCCACATTATAGCATCAGTACACAGATTAGACTGGTGAAAAACACTTCCTGCTTCACAGTTTTAAAAAAAAATATATATTTCCAATTCATTTTGCACAGATTGAAATGCTAAAGTTAGACGAGGGTATTTGTTTTCTTTTCTTTCTTTGCAAATTTTTTGGATAGCTGATGTTAGTAGGTTTGAGTTTCTCTCACCTAAAGCAGTTAAAGGAAATCACAATAGTTGGCATTTTAGCTCTTATGCAAGAAAAATAGAAGTGGATCTGGCATGTATTAGCACTAGTCCGCGTCCTCCAGGAGCTAGTGGGGCTTTACATTCTCTGAGAGAAAGAACAGGCGTTTCAGCATATGTCTCAACAGCGTATTTCTACATGCCTTTATTGTGCAAAGAGATCTGCTTGGAACATAACTGGTATCTAGTATAAACTTGTAATAAATCCCCAAATGCTGAATTGAAGAACAAAAGACCATCAGTTTTCTTGTTTTGTATAAAACAACTTAAATTGAGATGCTAGAATTATACCCTTCATCTCTAAGTAGCAAGATATACTTTCTCATAATCTTAGAAAATTACACGTTCAAATGGCCATTGTCCTGAGCTTGCTGTGCAGGATAAACTTTTCAAAAGTATCCACATTTTCCCTTCTGCACACGTGTCAATAAATGTGACGAGTTCCAAGTACAGCAAGTATAGTTTTCCCACACAAAGGCTGTACCAGTTTGCCTCTGTCACGTCATGGTTTCTTCAGAAGTCAATTTTCCTACCTGATGGAAGTGGTAAGCCTCTTCCTCCTGCGTGCTCTTGATCAATCTCACAAAATCATTATGAGTTACTAAAAGAACAAAGTACCTGGATTTGTAAGCTTCTCTTCAAGCTCAGCCTGAGTCGTTACACTCTCGGACTTTGGGGAATGGATGATGAGAACAACAGACCCAGCGCAGCTCAGCAAACATCCCAGCTTGCCAAGAATGTTCAGTTTTTCTTTCAGTAAGTAAGAAGCTAAAATGGACCTTTCACAAAGAGGAAGAAAATTAAAAGTTTGACTACATCCTGTTAATAATGTTCCAACAGTGACATTCCACATGAATCTCCCTCTTAAAGAAATAGTACCAAATGTTGATGGATCTTCAACCGAATGTTGGTAGATCCTCAAAATGCATTTCTGACTTAGCTTAGGAAAGATTCATCCAGTCTCAGTCTTACTCAATCCTTGATGTTTCATCTCAGGAAAAAAAAACCCCAAACCCAACAAAAAACCCAACCACAACATCCCCAAAACCACCACCACGTCACCACCTCCAAAAAACCCAAACCAGGCATCTGGCACCTGAGGCAGATATCTACCTGTTAACAATTTGGTGAGCTGTCATGAAGCCCCATTTTACAGGTGCTACACAGTCATGAGATAAAAGTGGCCTTTGGTTACAAAGATCACAGGGCTCAGCTCAGACACGTAGCTGACCAAAATCCAAAAAATTATGCGGCCTAGGATAAAATAATAGTTGGTAAGTAGAGCACTATCGATGTGCTTCATAGTGTATAAAACTGAAGACAGCCACGAAGCCCAGACAAAGTAATCTGCACTCTGAAGTAGATGACCAGTTATCCTGGTTTCAGCTGGAATAGAATTAATATTCTGGCATAGTGCTGTGCTTTAGCTTTAACCTGAGAAGAATGTTGGTAACACCCTGATGTTTCAGTTGTTGCTGAGCAGGGCTTACACCGGTCAAGGACTTTTCAGCTTCCCCTGCTCTGCCAGGGGCACAAGAAGCTGGGAGGGGGCACAGCCAGGACAGCTGACCCCAACTGGCCAAGGGGCTATGCCAGACCATATGATATCACACTCAGTATAGAAACAGGGGGCGTTGGCCAGGGGGCAGTGATCGCTGCTTGGGGACGGGCTGGGCGTCGGGCAGCGGGTGATGAGCAATTGCATTGTGCATAGTGATGTTTTGTGTATTCTTATATATTTTTATTGTTATTATTATTTTCTCTTCCTCTGCTGTTTTATTAAACTGTCTTTATCTCAACCCATGGGTTTTACTTTTTTTTTTTCCCCCTGATTTGCTCCCCCACCAGCATGGGGGTGGGGAGAGTGAGCAAACAGCTGCGTGGTGCTTAGCTGCTGGCTGGGGTTAAACCACACCACCAGCGCAGTCAGACGCACAATTCAGCAGCCAACAGTAGGCAACAGAAAAATCTCGAGGCAATGCACAGCTTGTTTTTAAAGAATTGTGCTTTTTCACTGCAGTAGGTTCACAACTGTAGCTTCACAAAACATTTAGTTGCATATTAAACTCCTTTTTGGAGCACTCACTGCCTTTTTTGTTCCCTCCCTTCGCATGAACATAACATTCAAGAAGCTGTGGGCATGCATAGGCAAGATGCAAGGGACTCCTGCTTCAGGAAAGGGAGGGGGTGAGGGGGGACAAATCCAATTATATGCAAATTGGCATCAATAAACACATGTGGGTTGTGGATAGCAGGGGAGAGAAAAAATGTGAGGCAAAAGGACAGATCTACATAGCAAGGGAACCATGAATAAGAGAATAAGAAGAGTCCAGAACAACTACAGTGGGGGGCGGGGGGGGGTGGAAGCTCTTTATCTGCTCCAGATCATAGTGATAGTTAAAGCAGAAGATACTCAGGAACCCTTTCTTCACCATTGCCTTCCCCCCCCCCCCCCCCCCCATTGCCACTTTGCTGGGGAAAACAGGAATAGGTGACTTCGTAACACATCATTAACGCTCATAAGCCTGACATCTTCTCAGTGGGCCTCCAGTGATCAGTGAGCCTATCTGACATTTTACTAAGTAGTAAGAAAATTCAGATAAGAACAAGAAAAGCAAACTCTTACCCAAATGGAACGCCAAGAGCTCCCAGGGGCGTCACTAGCACAGTTGGGACTGCAGTGTAGGCCAAGAAATTCCCTATTTGACCCAGAGCCACTGTCAAGAGAACCAGAAATAAGTCTTTGAATCCTTTTGTAAAAAGAAGGAATGAAAACTTACCCAATAGTGTTTGGGAAAGACTGATCTAACTGGAAAACAGATGGTACAAATTTGCTTAGCTCAGTTAATTTTGCACTTAAACAAAATGACTGGAATTTTTCCATATTTTTTAAATTATTTTTTAATATAGGATTTATATTTGCCACACAAGAAGATCCAAGAGGGCACAGTAAATAATCTCATTTGCAGCTTCTCTTAGTTGAATATAAATAAGCTATGAATTAGAAACAGTCATGGGTTACACATGAATATCTCAATATTACACTTAAATATTTATATGAGGAGGGCTAAAGGTATCTATAACCCATAATCTCCGCTTTAGAACGTGCATACACGCAACATGAATGCACTTGGTTATAGTTCCTAACAGCAGCGTTAGCTTTTAGGGGGGGAAATAAGGACAGTGCTGAGGAAAGGAATCTACTAATTAAATACTAAGCACATGCATAAGGGCCCTTCTATATAGAGGAGAGCACATCAAATTTTCACAACACTATATAACATCAAAAGTAATTCCTAACCACTGTAAAAAGAACAGATCTCTGACAAGTCACAAAACCAGCCTCACAATTTTTTTTTTTTTCTTTCCTCCAATAAAAGCAAATTCCAAGACGTACCACACTATTGCACATCACAGCTGTGATAAAGAGTTCACGCGGTCAAGTTTTTGGTTAAAAAAGAAAAGCTGGATGGTTTTGCAAGTGCTGACAGGTTTATAATAAGTCAACATGATGCTTGCATCGTTACAGGGACTGTGGTAACTGGCAAGAACCTTGAGATTGAACACAAATTACATACAGCGCAGAGTTCCAGTTGATGCTCAGAGCCATTATCAGCATTTAAACACATTTCAAGAATCCAAGCTGTCTTTATGCTCAGCCTGGCGTTGCCCTCCGCTATCAAATATCGTTACCATCATCCTGTTCTTTACACCTGCAAAGCACTGTGCAAACATTAATTAATTTACCAAATTAGCTCACATTATCAGTAGAGCTGGAGACCTGTGTAACCTACAGGAAACACAGAGGAGACAAACAAACTTATAAAACAGCAGAGTGTGGCAAAATTATACTAAATCAATTCACTGAGGCTTCCTCTATGTGCGGGAGCGAGCCAGAGAAGTTAATGAGCAGCATTTCTAGAGCACAGGCATACTGACTGGTCTCCTGAATTCTCCCTGCCCCTGGGAACAGAGTAACTCAGCTTATCAGCCCTAGGCTTGTTTTTCAGCAGACGTACGTGACAACTTTGGCATTATCTTCAAGGCATCTGAAGGCACTGGGGCAGATCTTGCGTGGAGGACAGGACACAGCGAGCATGCTGTGTTTCTGCAGATTACATGCATTTCCAAGTGATTCTGCCAAAAGGTTGCCTTTTTTGGAAGTCAGCTGCCTTAATTTTCTGTTGGAAGAACCAACACCGATCCATAAATTAGGTCTCTGAAGCTTTAGTCAACCTGCGCATATTGTAAGGCAACTGAACTTACCAGAAGACCAGGACTCATTAAGACCAATTAAAAAAAGCTCAGTAATTGTTACCATCTAACTGATGATGAGGACCTTTGGTGCCAACCTATCCAGTCCTTTCTGGATAGAAATTCCTCTCCAGATACATCAGTGCTGCAAGTCAATTCATGGCCTCAGTTCACGAAGGCACACCAAGCTCTAAGCTTGCTAAAGCAGTACCAATACCCCCAAAGTTACTGCAACACAAAACTTGATGCACACTGACATGTCCACCTTCAGCAAGCAGACCAGGAGTAGATCCATACAGCAAAAGATGTCTGCATCTATATGCATGTGAGGGGTTTTATTTCAGACTAACTTCAGCCTCCTCCCATGGACTGAAAGTCCTGGGAAACCAGGAAAGCTGGAAAAGCTGGAAAGCAGCTGGTGTGCATTAGGCACGTTCCTAGAGTAAATCTTTGAGCCTAGTTTCATCTTAAAGCCCAGTTCAGGAGCTCCAACACTGCTCCACAACATGAAAGAAAGCCCAGTCCGTGGAGACAAACAGGAGATTTGCTTCACAATTGCATTCCCCATCAGCAACAAAACACTAATGTAGAGGTATCCACTATAAAAAACAGCCACATCTATGCTGCCATCAAACCTACACTGAAATTAATTAATTAGCCAATTAATTGGTTTAATGCTCATTAAAATACCTGCACACATGCTGCAATCACTCTTTTGACTTTAAAAAAAAAAAAATCCCTTAGCAAAATCTGTGTCCCTTCCTCTGAAATCTTCAGTAATCCAGAGGATCCCAAGGCCCCAGAATGGTCAGGCGGCATTATGCTGAGTCAGCATGCCAACACAGAAATGCTTGTTCACCATCTGAACAAATGTTGTGATAACAAGTCGATAGAATGTATGTGGGTTTTGTTAGTCATCCAAACTCCAAATTCCCTGCTTGAGAAAATGATGTCAGCTGTTATAATATCGCCCAGATAACTGGGGATATTGCCAATTCCCCAACCACCGCCTTTCTCTGCATCCCGTAGGCGCCTACCTGGCCCTTGCTATTGCTGTTTGTGACTCTGTCGCAGTTCTGAGTCTGTAATACCCTCAAGCAGTTCTTCCCTTGGTTCCTTTGTAAACTTACTGCGGCTTTGTTTTGAAATACCTGTACCTAGCTCCTGGACAAAAGCCAACTGATGCCATTCCCTTCAGCTATTTTGCCTTCATTCAATTCTGTCAGCTCTTTTAAGCATGAAATCGTTTTCTCTGATTCACCGAGATAAACTCCTGTAATAAAACCTCTCTTAACTCCTTCTGCTCAGAGATGGAAGACGGGAGCCTCATGAGCAATTAACAGCAGTGATTAATGCACGGATTTATTGCTGCTTGGGCAGTAGTGATCCTGGCAGAGGAGGAAGCTGACAAAGGACTACTTAAGCTTTCCTCTGAAGCTCTGTTGGCTTCTGCGCTTGCTGTGAGCTTTGTCCTTCAGGGGATCTATCGGTTTCCATTCCTTTTGCATAGCTTGAAGACAACAAAACCAGAGACTTACCTTGTTGCCACGGAACAAGGGGCACAGCTGGATGCATCTACTTCGCAGAAACAGCATCAGAACGTTTCCAAATAATTCACAAAAGGCAGGGTTAGAGTCTAAATGTGGGGTATGATTCTAAGCTCCTGGGTTTTGCAAGAGGGGAAAGCTTGCTGCTCTCCAGGCTCTGGATTCACATCAGAGAGTGAACTTAGCCTGAGCAGAGCTTACAAAGATACTAAGAGTGAAATTACACTGATCTCATATCAGCACCACACAAGGCTTCACATTAATCTTGTAGATTAAAAGCAAAACTGAAACCGTATCTGTCAAACTAGAAAACAAAAAGGATTTTTTTTTTTTTTTTTTAGCTGAGGCTGGCTAAGTGCTTTCTGATCTAAAAAAAATAACATGTGCTCAATGAGCCCTTTTGTGCAGAGCGACAATTTCTCATTCAGCTTTGACTTTTATTAAAAACTGAGCGGACCTGCACAATCCAGAGACACAAACCGTGCAGGAACCCAGAGTCTGAGCAGCGCGTGGCTGCCAAGGGCTGCAAGTACCAAACGGTTCGGGAATCTGGACAGATGTCTGACCTGGGAATGTCTCAGCTCTTTGCCTTCTGAAATGCTGTCAGACACAGCAGCCAGGGGGAGCATCTAGTGAAGGTGGGATATTTCTGAGGGATGGGAATTTTCTGACAAGTGAGCGTGAGATTCAAGATGAGGATCCAGATTTCCTAATGGCTCATGTCACCATCTAACTGCAACTGCTCCCTCCAAATAAAATCAAACCTTTTAAGATACTCACTTGCAATAGTGCCAGACCACCATACTATATCTGTTAAGTACGAAGTACCTGGAAGAGGAAGTATAGGAAGACATATTAGAAAAATATGAATTTGCAATATTGGACTACAAAATGGAATGATTTCAACACTCTCAAGTATTAAGGGTCTTCATCTTCAAGGCAACTGAGTGGGAGGAAAACAAGAGAGAAGGTGCTTGGATTTGGCCTAAGTGTCCACACTGGACCTTCTTAAGACAACGTATTAGTCAGATGTTCTGGTTTCCAGTGCAGTACCTATGCGAGGCTAACGTGATATGGCTTAGAAGAGTGTCCAAAATGTCACCAAATGCTTCTGAGGGTGCCATGTAAACATACACGTTAGAACTGCTACTAGGAGAATGGGAAACCTATGGAAACAAAACATGATTCGGATCAATTAGTATGGTAACATAGCCTCAAGGAAATCGTATTGGAGAAGTTGTAGCAGAGAAATTGTTCTGGTGTGCAGTTTTGGCAGTACCGTAGGGCAGACCAGACCTCCTGCATCTGAGCATTGGAAAACGCTACAGCTGAAGCCTCTGAATTCCTGACATACCGCCATATTTCAAAGAGAGGAGTAAAAATTCTGGATTGTCCCTCAGTGTCTCCTAAACTCATTATTTTCATCATCAGATTATAAGCTCTTGCCTTGGGATGTGCCAGGGCAGCCTGTGCACCATATTTTAGAAGTTCTGCTTCTGTAGAACATCAAGGCTAATGACTGCTTACTAAACTAAAGCCTGGCCTCCACCAAGCATGACCTCGGCATCATGCTATGCTTCTACATTCTGCTCCTCTTTCTAGCAATTCAGCTCTGCATTTATTTGGGAGGGTGCTCTCTCAAGAGCTGCTGGAGCAATAGGCAATATTGTACCTACCCTGAAATCCCAAATGAAAGAAAACCACAGTTATCTACAACTCTGGAGATGTATAAAATATTATGCGCTTGGAAATCACACTATATAATTGAAATGAGATGGAAAATGACTAATGAAAATGGCCAGCTTTAGAGTGGGTGTAATAATTTTTTAGACTTTTGTTACTGCATGTAAAATAAAGACACTGTTGGGGGCACAAATTATAGAAAATATTGACTCAAGTGGAGAGAACTTTGCAAAATATTTGTCACCCGCTGCTGTTTCTAACTAAGCAAGGATTACTAATTGCATTGATGCTATATTATTGATTCAATAAGAGAAGACAGAAAAGACTTGAAGTGCCTCCTTGTTAATTATACAACACCTACTGAAGCCAGTGGAAAAAAGACATCATCAGCTCCGACTGCTAGATCCAAGGCCACTTCACAACATTAAATAGAGAGAAACCTAGGGTATTTACCTGGGTCTCTCCACCCAGAGCACAGCAATAGGAAATACTACGAAATGCTTGGCAAGACGTGCAAGTAAACGTCGGTGGTATCTTCAGAACGGGATGTTTTACAGCTGCCGGTGCTGAGAAGAGGCATGCACCCCACCACCCCCTTAGCCCAGCGCTCCACTGAAAGCCCTTCGGGGTAATTAGACCCAACTACGTTGCAAAATGGAAACTTCCCCCACTGCCTTGGGATGGAAAGCCATTCCTCTCTCGCATGTTTTCTCTTTGTTTTCCTTACAGAAAAAGGATTTGTATTTCTGATGCAAACGTGATCTCTCTGTGGACAATAAAAATGGATTACAGCCATCTTGGAGGGAAAGGGAGACAGATGCTTGCAAAACAGTTGCTCGGCTGAGGCCCTTAACTGGTCAGGTCACTGCAGAAAAGGCAAAATAAACTTGTTGGATCAGGCTGCCAGCTGGTAGTAACATAATTGCAAGCTTGCTCTGCTCCCCTGTATCTACCCTGAAGACGCTGGCAATGCACTGCTGCTGTAACACTAACCATCTTAAATACATATATGTGTATATATATATACACACACACATACCCACACATACATACAGAGAGAGAGAGAGAGAGAGAGAGAGCGCGCCTAGCCTGTCCTGGTCACTAAAAAGGATTTTTCATACGAAAAGAGTTCCCGGAACCTACAGACGCACGCTGTCACACGCACAGACCCATCACGCATGGCTATGGACCACAGAAAGACCGCGAGAAGGTCTCACGCCACCTGTGCTTACAACTTTCCCCTCACGTAAAAGCACGATATTAAGAACAAATAAATATACTGGATTTGCCTATATTAAAAGCATCAAGATGCAAACAGCAAGATGCCAGAGAGGCTGCATGCTTTGGGGAGGTCCAATTGTAGAATAAAATGCAGAAAATCCTCACACTCTGTGCATTTACAGCTTTGTTTTGGCTGAACTGTCTGGATAGCGCGGTCCGTTCCTGAATATGTTCATCTCAGGAAACAATAACAAGGTGTGGGATTTCAATAGGGAAAAAAACCCAACCCCCAAACCAACCCGAAATGAACGGTTCCATGCAATCGGTGTGCCTTTCTCCTCTGCAAAAGGAAGCCACCAGGTGACTGGTGTAACTCGTGGCGCGCGTCCGCGGGAGAGCCACAACAAACAAGCGACAAGAGGCGCCGGTGCCACCCACGGCAAGAAACTCTCCGAGCCAGAGAAGGGGGCG